ATATATAAATGTTTTAAAAGAAACAAGATTTGTTTCTTATCAGAAAAAGATATTTTTAATTATAGATGCAAATTATTTGTGGGTATTACAAAAAAGCCTAATTTTTTCTTGTTTTTATTTTGTTTTTCACAGTACTGGTGATTAATCCTAGGGCCTTCACACTGAGCTGCAACGCTTACCCTTTTTAAAAATTTTTCAATTTTGAGGTATGGGAATGTAGCTCAGTGGTGCCACACCTGCCTGGCAAGCACAAGATCCTAAGTTTGATTCCCTGGTACCAAAAAAAAAAATTTTTTTTTTAATATTCTGGGACCAGGGATGTAGCTCAGTGGTGCTGTGCCTGCCTGGCAAGTGCAAGGTCCTGAGTCCTATCCCTAGTACCCTCCAAAAAGGAGAAAAAAACATTTTTTAAAATTTTGAAATGAGGTCTTGATAAGTCACTCCTGTTGCCCAGGCTGGGCTCATACTTGCTATTCTCCTACCTGAGTCTCCTAAAGTTCTCATGTTACAGTCATACACCACCACACCCAGCTAAGAAATTTAATTTCTAAATGTTCTGAATTTAGCAAACTTGCTGAACTCTTGTTGATTTTAATAATTTTATAAATACACTTTGGATTTTTTTATTTAGTTACATCATTCATGAATAAAGAAACTTGTTCCTGTCTAGTTATTTTTAAATGGCTTCTATGTATATACATACATTCCTATTTGTATACATATACACTTATATAAATATGCACAAACATACAGATATGTATAGATTTGTATATATTTTAAAAAGTGTAAAGCTGCATAGAAGCAGTGCTGCACACCTTATAAGAGGTAGACATTCTTGTATTGTTTCTGAGAAAGTTTTTGTAATGTTTACCATTAAAAGATATGTATTTCTATAGAGTATTTGGGTGTAGCCTTTAGTAATTTAGAAATTCCTGCATATTGTTTTCTTAAGTATCTTTTTTCTTTTGTACCAGGGATGGAACTCAGGACCTTGCACTTGCAAGGCAGGTGGCAGAAAAACTGAGCTAAATCCCTGGCCCCTTGAGTATTTTTATTAATGTGTGTTGAATTTTATCTAGTACTTAATCTACATCTTTTGCTATAATCAGTTTTTATACTTAAATTACTAATATACTGAATTAAACTAATACACTTATAAAATTTAAACTATTCTATGTATTCTAGGGTAAACTTAAATTAGCTTGTTAGTCATGTTGTATTTTTTTAATTCCTTCTAGATTGGATTTGCTTTTTGGATAGAAGATAATATTTTGTTTAGAACTTTTGCATCTTTTCATAAGAATTATTGTCCTATTGTTATATTCTTGAGCCTTGGTGCATGAGATCTCTAGGGCTGCTATAGCAAATTACCATAAATTGCTGACTTAAAACAACAGACGTTCATTCTTTCATAATTGTGGAGACAGGAAGTTCAATATCATAATAGGCCCTGCTCCCTCTGAAAGCTTTAAGGAGGAATCTTTTGCTTTTCCTAGCCCTTGTGGTTGCTGGTATTCCTTGACAAATAGTTGTATCACTCCAGTTTCTCCGTCTTTCCTCTCTATATGTGTGTCCAGATTTTCTCTTCCTATAAGGCTACAAGTTTTTTACAGTAGAGCCCACTGTAATCCAGTATCACCTTATATTGATTTGGTTATATCTATAAAGTCCCTGTTTCCAAGTGGGTAGTATTCTAAGGTTCCTGATGGACATACATTTTGGAAGGGACCCAATTCAAATCAGATTTGCTATCAGGATTTTACTAGTCTTAAGTATTTGGCCCCAAGAAATGTCATAAAGTTTCATAACTTCCAATTGTAAATCACTATGACTCTTTAAGATATTGTAAAAACCTACAACACTATACTGCTGCCTTATTCTGTCTTCAGAAGTGTATAGTACAGTGGAGATTAGTTAGGCACCTGTTTAAATTTTATCACCTTAAAACTTAACAACATCTCTTATGTAAGTTTTACAATAACAAATACTTTTGTTAATGCTGAGGTTATAAAAGATTAACATACAGAATAAAGTAAACCCCTGAAGGCTAGCAAAAAAAGCACATTCTTTACCCTTTCTCAAATTCAAGATAGATGATATGAGTGTTCAGGTATCGGCATATGCTTTTTTCTTTGCTGCTTCCTTTAGTCTTTGAACATAATAATTACTATAAACCCTTGGAGCTTTAAGTGATTTTCTAAGTAAGTTTGGCTGTGTATGAGTGTTGATTTCTCCTTTTTACATACTTCAGAATTTTAAATGAGATGTAACTATAATTATGTAAATTAGTGTGAGTATAAGAAAAAGAATTGTGTCCATTATCTTCATTCTGGAGCTTTTAACTATCATTAAGTTGCCTTGTGGGTAACTTCTTAAAATGTTTCATTCAAATAAAAATTTTCTCCTGTGGGACTGTCAAGCCAGTGACTATTATTCCTATAAAGGAAGAAAACTATTGAAGGTATCAACAATGAGGAAATATTCATTCAGTATATTCATTCAATATAGTTTTAATGTATACAATAGATACTTTTAAAGTTTTTATAAATGATAATAGAGGCTGATAGGATTTTGCCTCTTTCATTCATTATTAAACTATATTTTTGTTTTTAATTTTTAGATTTTAGTCACCATATTAATGACACAGACACTATACTGAGAACCAATAATAGCAACCCTGGTAAGTACTTTGTAATTTATTTTGTTTCTTTGTTCCCCACCTTGTTCTGAAGATTTAAAGAAGAACCTATTAGTACAAAATTATTATGTGTTAATTGAACTGCTACCAAATTGTTACTAATCTATATGTATAAAAAAACTCCCAAGAAGATTGTGTCAATGTGATCTGGGCAACATTTAGTTCATATAGGTGTGTAACCCTGAAAATCCAAAATTCAAAGTGTTCCAGAACCAACTAGGGACTGTGAATGTAGCACAGTGGTAAAGTACTTGCCTCATCTATATAAAGCCCTAAATTCAGTCTCCAGCACCATAAAACTAAACCAGTCAGTGTGCAGTCAGTAAAAATTAAAAAAAAAAAAAATCCCAAATCTGAAACACTTCTGATCACAAGCATTTTGGATGAGAGATACTCAGCTTTTATTATTACAACTCACAGTTGTATCCAGAATATCCATATTTGCAAATGAAAAATCAAAGTTTTAAAGAAACTGTATTTCTTATTATTCTATTAGATTTCTAGAAGCATACTTCTTGGTTCATTAATTCATTTTAGGTATGTAGTTTTAGTTACTGATATTTAGACTACACAAGTTTGTGACAAAATAATTGCTTTCATGATAATGAACACAGGCTAGTAAACATGGAAAAGTAAATTTAAATTGTTACTTAAAGATGATCTAATTTCTTAGCAAAGTTTCCTTTAATTGACGTATTAAAAATAAACCATTGTTGCCGGGAGGATTTGCCTCAGTGGTTCTTCTGCCTGCCTCACAAGTGTAAGGTCCTGAGTTCAATCACCAGTACCAAAAAAATAAGTAAATCAACCTGAGTAGGGCTGAGAATTTAGCTCAGTGGTACCACATCTGCCTCAAAAGCGCAAGGTCCTCAGTTCAACCCCAGGTACTGAAAAAAAAAAAACCTTGGAGCTGGGCTATAAATAGTGCAGTGGTAGAGCTCCTACTTAATATGCAGGAGCCCCTGGCACCACAAAAAATAATAAAAGTGAAATAAACTCTTGTGGCCATTTGATTTAATTCAGTTTGCAGGTCATAGGGAAATGAATGTAAACACTAATGTAACCTTATTAACACCTAAAGTTTTTATGTGTTCAAGTTTCAGGGGTAAACTGATGTCATTTTTATAGAGGAGCATGATCACTAAGAGAACAATTAATTTAACATATGTATTTACAAAACCTATTGTTTGTCAGAAACTATGGTAGGCACTGGGAATATAACAATGAACAGTTCCTCCTCTCATGAAGCATATATTCTGATGTGTGGTATTGAGTGTCTTACTTTGCCTCTTAATTAAGCCTGATTAACATGTCATTTGAGAGAAATAATTAGAGTGAGTAAAGAACCAGCTAAAGGTATGTGTGTCTGTAGTTTGTCTACCTACTCATGTTCTAGTGCTAACAAGTGACAGATTAACCAGGTTTGATTAAGGGCAAAGTAAGACACTAAATACCACACGTTAGAATAACATGCATACTTTTGTATTAAAATCTCTTATAGCCTGTCCCTTACCTCAGACTTTCAAAAGACCAAATAACATTGTCAAATGATTTTGCTGTGTAGCTATTCTGACATCACTTGATGGAACTAGTTTATTAATATCTTATGAATTTCTTATCCAAAGGGAGTTGGTTCATCATTAAGGTCATAAATATCACAACTACACTGATGGTTTGGAAAACATCAGCAAAGTCAGTTTATTTTGCATAGTGATATCTTAGGTTGATATTAGCATTTCATGGATTGTCTTTTAATGTTTATTTTGAACAGTGTGGTAAATACATTATGAAACAATCCATCTTGGTGCAAAAATTACAACTAACATTTATCACATAATTACTTGGTACAAGGCATTGTTCTAAATGTTTTGTAGCAACCGTATGATGCTGCTAATTCTCTTTGTAGATGAAGAAACCAAGACATGGAGAAGTTAACTGGCCAAGAACATCTGATTGTTAATTCGCAGAATTAGTATTCAATTATTTTGTCATTTTATTTCCCTAGCCTATGCTCTTAACCACTATAGTTAGCAGAAGCACATTTTTTCCTGAAGCATGAAAAAGTCAGGTTCAAATACTAATAAAGAATAAGAAAGAAAATTAAAGCTTGGTTTTGTGACATGCCAAATAATGGACAGAGAATAAAATTCAGAATAGAGCTAACAAAAAATATTCTTCGTCTTTGACGAGTGATGAGTATGATGATTGCTTATTTTAGGGTCTGGGAGGATAACTCAGTGGTAGAATGCTTGCCTAGCATGTGTGAAACTCTGGGTTCCATCTCAAGGGCCACAGAAATATAATAAAATAGATAAATGAATAGAGTTCTTTACAAAAAGGTGTTACTAGCCAGTGCTCTATTATGAAACAATATAGAATGGCAAACTCTTGTGAAATTAGTAAGAATAATTTGTACTCTGATAACAGATGAAATTGGTACAGATTAGTGTTAAGAAAAATACATTCTACTGATTTCCCAGTTCTCTAAATATTATCTAGGCTCTCAGTCTTCTGTGAAATATGATAAATTTCCAGGATTATTTTCAACTTCATTTTCTTCAGTGATTAGATTTGTTTGTTATTGAAAGAAGCCTACCTTTTGGCTTTTGAGCTACTAGTACAAGTAACCATTACCTTTAATCATATTTCTTATATTGATGTGTAAATAAAACCAAATACCATCAATCTAATCAATATTTTCTCTCCAGCAATGGAATGAAGTGATATTTGGTGGAATAGTTTTATTTGTACCTCCATCAGAGGTTAAAGATATACATCAAAACTTTCTAAGATTTTCTCACCTTTAAACACTCATTTTTAGGTCAAAGATTCCTAATGTACCTAAGTATAGCTCTCTATTTTTTTCAGAAAAGAGAAACTTATTTGTGGTAAAAGTCAAGCATCACTTTGTAGGAAATTGATTTTCTGCCTTTTGTGGTCTCTAACATTGTGCTTTACTATTGCAGTAATTTGTCCAAGTGCTGGGAGTGGAGGCCATCCTGACAATGACTCCATGATTTTCTACGCCAATGACACAGAAGTTCAGCAGTTTGAAAAGTGGTGGAATAGATCCAAAACAGTACCCTTTTACCTAATAGGGCTCCTCCTACCACTGCTCAATTTCAAGTCACCTTCGTTTTTTTCAAAATTTAATATCCTAGGTAAGATATGATGCTGAGTTGGGGAATATCTGTGTAGTGGAATACATGTTGGATTCTGCAATACTGTGGTCTAACTGGGAGAGAGTTACCTTTCCGGCCTGCTCATCTGTATTTTTTGTTAATCTGTATAGTACTATGTTTTTGTTAACCTGCAAGTTGGCACAAAGAAAAATACAGATGACTGTTTCTATTTTATGTCCTTTTTTGGCTGCTTTCTTTTTGGTACCAGAAATCGAACCCAGGACCTTGCACTTGCGAGGCAAACGGCAGTACCACTGAGCTAAATTCCCAGCCCCTTTTTTGGCTTTTTGTGACATGAGTTCCCATTCTCACCTTACAGAACAACCCATCCTTCTTTCTTCTTAGAATACAACTAGAGAAAACAGACCAAAATTTTAGGAGAAGAGCTAGGAAGATTGATAGATCCAAATAGACTGCAGGAGTTTACCTCCCTTCTATAAATCTGACCTCTTAGTAGGCAGCCTCTATTGTTTTAAACAATCAATCAGATTGTCTATCACATCGCGGAACCAGAAAATGGAAAAATGAAATGTAAATGGTTTCTCAGAAGATAAAGGAAGTAAAAATACTTCTTTATGCCTTTTGCCTCACTGGAAGCTGCCATAAACAATCAGAAAATGAAGCGTTGTGGTTGTATCAGCTTTCATCTCGTTTGCATCCTTTCTGAATCAGCTAATCTCTAAACCCACAGTAGAGCTTATACAGCTCATTTGTGGTTTCCTGATTTGCTTGCCGACTTTCCAGTGGAACAAGTAAAAGCATATAAACTTATAGAAGGATTTGCTCAGTTGGGCAAAACCATCACCAGATTTCCAGCCAGATTGGTTATAATACAACTCCTTAAGCATATTCTGCTTTTGCCCGTTTCTGTATTATTTTCTCTATTTTTTAAACTTCTGTACAGGAACTAGCATCAAAGGATATTTCTAGGTTTCCTAACTATGCTCTGTAATGACTGGACTTGTGTGGTCAAAAGGAATCATTCTCTAACTTCTATATTGCTAAAACATGCTGCATGCCCATTTTACCTGTCTGTAATACCTGGGAATGCAATCTGAAATCTTTCCAGCAGTGAAGTAGTACTCCCCAATCAGAACCTCATATAGGTACTAGATCAGATTATTTATGAATTATGTAGCTTAGAACTTTTCTTAAATGTTTATGATTCACATTCTCTACTTTTCTTCTCTTATGATTTCACATTAACTATGTGACAGACTTTTTCAGCTTTCTGATCTTTAATACTCAATAAAAAGAATAGAAGTTGGTTTCATGTTCTGTGTAACTCTACAATTTTATAGTGTACTCTTTTGTACATGTTTTAAGTACTTAATTACATTCCTTGTTGAGAGTTGGTACATGTATATCTCAATTCTTTTTTCATCCCTTCCCTTCCCTGCCCTTCCTCTTCTTCCATTTCTTTTTTTTTTCCCCCTCTGGGTACCAGGAATCGAACTCAGCACCAGGCAGGCATGGCACTACTGAGCTACATCTCTCAGCTGCCTTCTTCCATTTCTTGATCCTCTTCCCATTTGAGAAAGATCTATCTCTCCACTTCTTATTATCTATTTTTTATTTTGCTCTTTATTTATATTTTAGGTCTCTCATATAAAAAGAAACAATGCAATATTTAAGCTTGTGTGTCTGATTTATTTCACTTAACATGACAGTCTGAAAGTACATCCATTTTCCTACAAACAACTCATGTTTGTCTTTAAGGCAGAGTAGTACTCCACTGTATAAAAGTAACACTCTTTCTTTATCCATACTTGTATCTTCCACCATCCTCAGTGCATAAGTGAATTAAACAGTTTTTACATTCAGCAATACAAAGCTGTTTTCACCCAGTTCTTTTTAGGCATACTCTACCTAGGTTTTTGGGTTTTGTTTTGTTTTCTTTTAACTCACATAACTTGTTTCTATTCCTCAATTCCGAGCTGAGTTTTAATGATGTTAATAAATGAAAGTAATAATTTGCTACACTTGTTGAGAATAAGGAGATAAAACTTAATTTTTGAAATAGTCTGATAGTAAAAGATAATTGTTTCTTGCTGGGGATTTAGCTCAGTGGTTCTGCTGCCTGCCTCGCAAGAGCAAGGTCCCAACTTTGATCCCTGGTACCAAAAAACAAAACAAAACAAAACAAAAGATAATGGTTTCTGAATTTTTTTCTTCCAGGCACAGTATCTGTTCTCTATTTGATTTTTCTTGTCACTTTGAAGGCTATTCGCTTGGGATTTCATTTGGAATTTCACTGGTTTGTGCCAACAGAATTTTTCGTACCAGGTGAGCTGTTTGAGCAAATAAATAATTAATAAATTACAATATGATCATTAAGTTAATCATTATGCTATTCTAAAACAAATGATGTTTTTTTTTTTTAAATGCTGAACATTTGATTAATCTTGTTAAGCTAAACCCAGGACTATGTTAGGATTTCTTTAGTTTTCTTGCGGTTAGGAGTAACCAAAGCTGTTTGCCATTTCAACTTGGTAGCTAAAGTTCATTTAAATTATTATGCAATTGAAAAATAAAAATACATTGTCTAGACTAAGAAACACCCCTATAGCCAGTGATGTATGATGTAATATTGCACATTAAAATCATTGTTCTCCATATGGATTTTTTTAATATTGCTGTTTTGGGGGCTAATAATACTGATTATTAAGTGTTTGGCCTTCTCTTTCCTTTTTTTCTCCTTGTGATTATAATTTAGAAGTTTATTTGGTTTCACCCCAGTTTAGAATATTCTGGACATGTTAAAAGCATCTTAAAGGAAAAAATAAATAATGCTAAATGAAGAGCCAGGTTAGATAATGGAAATGACACAAGTATCTTGAAAACTAGCAATGGAAAATAGTACACAATTGTGTTGTTGGTTTAGAAAGATTGGTTTCTTTCCGTTCATAAACCCTCAATTTAGTCTAGATTTCAAAGTCTTTTTACAGTATCTACTATGTGTAAGGTTGTTCACCACCCAATTTGTTTCTTTTGTTACAACATTCCTGAGTTTTCCAGGTGTGTGGAGATGGTAGTCATTAGAAGTTGTTTACATTTTCATGATTTTTAGACCATTTGATTATTTTAGCTTTGATTTTTTCATCTCTGTTCAGAGCCCACAAAGACTCAAAAGTCAGTGTAGATTCGGAATGAAGGAAGTATTGAGGCTTGAAAAGCACTCTTTTCTCCAAGATTATGTTTAATATTGGACATAAATGAAAATTGTAACTTTAAGCTAGTTTTTCCATTCACTGATAAAAATAGTGTAAGATATTATTTTCTAAAATTAGGTCATTGTGATTTATAAAAAGTTTTAGTGATAATGATAGGACATGAAAAGTAGACATAAGGGAAAAAAATGGTTATTTATAAAACAAAAGAAATATTTTAATAGACATTAGGTCATTAATTTCACGTACCTTAATTTTTAAATGATATAAACAGAAAATCTGGAGAATTAAAAGATGCTCATGTTAATATTTATTGCCTTGAAATTAATTACTGTATTGTGATTAAAGAATTTCTCAAAAATGAAAATATGTCATAAATCAGAATCAGAAATCTTGCTAGGCATGCTGGTGCATGCCTGTAATCCCAGCACTGGACAACCTGAGGCAGGAGGACTGCCACATGTTCAAGGCCAGCCTGGGCTACATAGAGAATTCAAGGCCAGCCTGGACTAATAGCAAAACCCTGTCTTAAAACACACACACACAAACACAGAAATCTAAAGGGGATGTATCTTACTGTCCTCATGAGATTTCACATAAATTCTTATTGAATCTTTGCTTATGTACTTGTTTGCTTATGTTTGTTTCTAAAACTTTTTTTTTCTTGGTATGGTGATTAAAGTCATGGCTTCATATGTAGTAGGCAAGTGCTGTAGCAATGAGCTACATCCCTAGCCCTAAAAGTTTACCTTTCAATGCTGCAGATCATGTCATCAAGCTTTTTCTCAGGTAATTAGGGGAATGATGTGAAAAACCCTACTTATACCAACCTGCCTTTTCTTGCCTACCAAGGATTTTATTTTCACAGTAATCATGTCTTTCTCCTGGGTCATGTATCGTCACAGTTTTCCCCTACTGACCTGTTCCTACCAGTATATAGCTGTTGCCCAACATAAATAGCTAAATTCATGTGGCCTCATACTCTCCTCCAACTATTGCCTCCTTTTAAGGAAACTTTTTAGAAATGTTGCATATGCTCACTATCTCTAACTTCTCTTTCTATTTGGCATTGAATTCTCTTCTAAGAGGCTTTTGCCCCAGTCATGCCCTAAAAGCAGTGATTTCTTATCTTGCCAATACAGTGACCAATTCTCACTACTCTTACTCAGCTTGTCAGCAGCATGGGGCAGCATTGGGTCACGCTGTTCACTTTAAAACACTTTCTTTACTTGACCTTAAAACCTTACTTTCTCTTGATTCTTCTTTGTAACTGGCTGCTCCTCAGATTTCTGACCTCTACATGATATAGTTGTCCAGGGTCTAGAACTCAAACCTCTTTTCTCTTCTCTCTTATTCCTTAAACAATCTTATATAATCACCTGGCTTCCCATACACACACACACACACACACACACACACACACACACACACACACCACACACACACACACACACACACACACACACACACACACACACACACACCACTGAGTGCTGACACCACTGAGCTAAATCCCCAGCCCAACCTGGTTCTATATATTTTCTGTATAGTGACTAATTCCAATTTTGTATCTCTTGCCCAGCTTTTCCACTAAAATCCATACTCCTGCATCCCTTGTCCCTTCTGCGTCTCCAATTGGATGTTTTTAGATACTTCAAACTTAAATTGACAAGAACTAAATACTGGTTTTCTTCAGTGTCTACTTCTGTCTACCAATCTGCTTAATCAGTTCTTCCAGACTTCTTTGTCTTATAAGTAGTAGATTCAGTTTTCTACTTGATCAGGCCAAAAATTTCAGAATCATCCTTGACTGGTCTTTCTCAATCCCCCATATTCAATGCATTTACAAAGTATAACTATTTTACTTTTTAAAAAATTTAAGGGTTGTCTTAGTTACTTTCTTTTGTTGCTGAGATAAAATACCTGACACCCAAAATTGATTAAAGGAAGAAAGATTTATTTGAGTTCACAGGTGGTTTCAATCCATAGTCAGCTGACTCCAAGATAGGTTGGCATGGCAGAGGGGCATTTCAGAGGAGAAACAGCTCTGGCATGGCAGTGCAGGCAGAAGGCAGCAAGCAGCAGCCTTCTTGTGCCTTTATATCCCATCCAGACTGTTAACCTGTTGATCGGTGCCATCTACACCCAGAGTGACACTTCCATTATCCACCATCTTAATCCTAGATCACACCTTTAATTTGTATTCACACACCCGAATCTAGTCACCTTTGAAACTCTCCTCTATTGACCACACGAGGCTTTGGGGGGAGATTTAGATATAAGCCATAATATCCCCCCCCAGCTCCCCCAAAATTCATACATATCCCTTTATGCAAAAGTCCATCTCTTAAGAGATACTTTACAGCATTGCTGAAAAGTCCAAGTCTAAAGTCTACTCTCAGATTTAAGCCAAACACTTTTCTGTGAGCCCTTGTTTGAAAGAAAAGAAAGGTAAATACTTCCAACATACAATGGCACAAGATAAACATTACCATTACAAAAAGGGGGATAGAACAGAATGGGAGCAAAGCAAGTCCAAACTCCATCAGGGCAAATACTAAATCCCATAGTTTCGTGTCCAGCATCTGAGGGAGGCTGTAGCAAAATGTGAACTCCAAAGGGCTTGGGTGCTTTGTCCCTACAACATTGCGCATGTTACAGCTCTGAAGGCTTCTCTCTCAGGCTGGCTTTGCTCCCTCCTTGTAGCTTTCCTCAGATGATCCACATTTCTGGCTTCTCCAAACTTCTGGGGTCTCCACTGAACCTTTGGTTTCACATTCACAGTTTCACACACTGCTCTCTCAGGGGCACACTGCCTGTCTTCCCAAGCTTTCTTCTGAAATCTGGGGGAAAGCCTTTCTGACCCCACAACTCTTGCATTCTGTATAGGCCTAAAACCAGCACCACATGGATGATGCCAAGGTCTGCCGCCAGCTGGAGCAGCAGTCCAGGCTTCCTTCTCTTTTGACTCTTAAGGTTGAGTGCCTGGATTGCTAAGCATTATGAACCAAATCCTGAAGAACAACTTCCCTGGGCTGCCACCATCCTGGAACATGGTACTCTAGGCCTCTCTTCTCAAAGCAAAATCTTTGACTTTTTTAACTTTGCGGCTAGAAACGGTGGAGTACTTGTAAAGTCCTCAGGCCTTCTTTTCTATTGTCCTATTCCTTCTCAGCTCTCCTCTACTCCATCTTTGCAGTCTGCAACTTTACTAGAGCTTCCTTCCTGGACAAACACAAAATGTATTAAATCACTCTGCTGGGCTTTTTGCTCTTGTTTCTCAACATAGATCTGATTAAAATCCCCCAATGGTAGCCATGCCACAGCCTCATTAGACTGCTTTCACATTTCTTCTTCATGATTAATTGGTGCATTGTCCTTAACCTCGGTTTCAGGCAAAGTCTCTGGACAAGACCAAAATGTAAATAAATTTTCTGCCAAAGCATATACACATGGCCTGGAGTTCAACAGCCAAAGCAGTCCTTGTTCCTTACTGAAATATCCTGAGTCTGGTCTTTACCAGAAGCATTTCTATCAGCATTCTTTTCTTCTGAGCTCTGACCAGAATCTCCCATCAAGTTCACATTACAGCATTCCAGGGCTGCTTCTTCAGCCTGCATCTCTAGACATTTCCAGACTCTTCCAGCCAAGAGTCCAAAGGCCTTTGAGCAACATGGCCAGGGAGTATCACAGAAACATCCCCCCTTCTCTGGCACCAAAATCCATCTTGATTACTTTTCTCACTGCAGAGACTAAATACCCAACATTCAAAGTTAAAGGAGGAAAAGTTTATTTCAGCTCACATTTTAGAGGGGTTTCAATCTATAGTCTACTGGTTCCAGAGCAAGGTGGCATGGCAGAGGGGCATCGCAGAAGAGAAGTTCATGGCAGAGCAGGCAGAAAGCAGCAAGCCTCCCTTTCCCTTTTTTACCTTCCAGGTACTAGCCTTTTGGGTAATGCCACTCATACCTAGGGTGGGCCTTCCTTAATCCCAGCATTCACCCTTAATCTACAATCACACACCCTAATCCAGCCATCTTTGAAACTACCTATGGCCTTATGAAGTTTTTGGGGGGGCATCTAGATACTAGCCATAGAAGGGTTAAGGGTGTAACC